TCTGCTGTGTGGGAGGATTAAGGTGGGAGCACACATCTGCTTTGTGGGAGGGCTCGGGTGGGTGACAGCACACGTCTGCTGTGTGGGAGGACTCAGTGAGGTGGGAGCACACGTCTGCTCTGTGTGAAGACCGGGTGGGAGCACACGTCTGCTGTGTGGGAGGACTCAGGTGGGAGCACATGTCTGCTCTGTGGGAAGACTCGGTGGGGGCACACGTCTGCTGTGTGGGAGGGCTCGGGTGGGTGACAGCACACGTCTGCTGTGTGGGAGGACTCAGGTGGGAGCACTAGTCCATTCTGTCGGAGGACTCGGAGGTGGGTGGGGCACACGTCTGCTCTGTGGGGGACTCAGTGAGATGGGTGGGGGCACACGGCTGCTCTCTGGGAGGACTCAGTGAGGTGGGAGGACCCAGGGAGGTGTGTGGGGGCACACATCTCTGTGGGAGGACTTGGATGGGAGCACACGTCTACTCTGTGGGAGGACTCAGGTGGGAGCACATGTCTGCTCTGTGGGAGGACTTGTGTGGGTGGGACTACACGTCTGTTGTGTGGGAGGACTGAGGTGGGTGGGGGGCACACGTCTGCTGTGTGGGAGGACTCTGAGGTGGGAGCACACACCTGTTTAGGAGGACTCAGTGAGGTGGGAGCACACGTCTGCATTGTGGGAGGACTCAGTGAAATGGGAGCACACATCTGCTCTGTGGGAGGACTCAGTGAGGTGGGAGCACACGTCTGCATTGTGGGAGGACTCAGTGAGGTGGGAGTACATGTCTTGTGTGGGAGGACTGGTGGGTGGGAGCACACGTCTGATGTGTGGGAGGACTGAGGTGGGTGAGAGCACATGTCTGCTGTGCGAGAACTCAGGTGGGAGCACATGTCTGCTGTGTGGGAGGACTCAGGTGGGAGGACTCAGGTGGGTGGGGGCATACGTCTGCCCTGTGGGAGGACTCAGTGAGGTGGGAGCACATGTCTGCTGTGTGGTAGGACTCGGGTGAGTGGGAGCACACGTCTATTCCGGGAGAATTCAGGTGGGTGGGAGCACACGTCTGCCCTGTGGGAGGACTCAGGTGGGAGCAC